CGCCCGCCTGGCTTGCGGATGCACGAACGACGGGTGGACGGCCGAAGGTAACGTAGGTTGCTTCTCGAAGATAGTTCGTTCTCCTATGTTTTGCTATCGGTGTCGGGTCATGAAAAAGAATTACGTTACAATATATATATATATATATATATATATTAGTACAGAATTATTGAGTGTTCAGTAATATAGGATATTCAATAAATATTCGCACACGCGACATGTGAATTGTGGACGACTCATTGCAGATTCTTATCAATGTTATATATATATAATCGATCAATGATATTTTTCAATGACTTGATCGATTAAGATTCAATTTTTTTTAGGTATCTCTGTCATCATCGATATCATACCGGCAATTAAATTCTGTTGACATATCTATATAAGTATCTTGTACAAGACGAACTCGCGCTTGAATTATTCTTCCGAGCATTCACCGTATCTTTCATAGTGCGCGGGAGTTACGAACGAGTACTCGCGACCTGATAGATAAGACAGTTTGCGGAACGCTAGTTTCATCCAGTTTCGTCTTATTGTCGTCGGCACCTCAGGCAATGCTAAATATTTAAACGCCTCGACGTATTCGCGGCAATATCTTCAGCTCGCGTCCTTATACGACGTACCTATTAAACATAGTCATAGCCATGTGTGCATAAGCCATAGGCATAGTGTATAACGAAGTGGCGCAAAGCTTGGAAAACAGCTTCGATATCTCTAGATTACGCAGCAGCGTGAAGTTTGCTGCAATAAATTGTATTGCAACGTGCAAAGATTATTATTTTTTTTTAAATCATGGCATCAGTATTTGTGAACACTGCAAAAAAAAAGCCGCGTCTGAAAAATAATATCGTTAAACCGGTTTTTCAAAAATTTCAAAATTTGCCTACTTTGCCTCTGGTATGTATTAAAAAATGTTACGCTATGCTCAGGCAGCTTATCGATAGGCGTTTCGCACGTGTTTCTATGCTCTCGCGTATTTTCGTACCAGTCACGTGATCGTGAAAATACAACTGGAGTCCCGAGGTTTACCTGTTGCGCACAACGGTTCCACTGTGGGCCAATACCAGGTAATATAGATATACCCTACATGTATTACTTAGAGAAGTAGTAAAAAATTGAAAAAAAAAATCGTGTAATAAAATTCAAAAATTACAAAATGAATTCACCCTGTCGATTCCAAAATTATAAAAAGTATGAAAAAAAATTTAACAGCTAAACTTGAAATTCGTGATCGTTTTACACGCTCTGCCTTTTTTTTTTCGAAAAAAAAAAAATAATAATTTTCACGAAAAAATCGTACTTTACGCATTTTCTTTTTAAAAAACGGTGTAATATTTCTTGTTTCTTTGAATTTATCGATACATTTTATTCCCATGTATCTTCTTCGGTTATTTATCGACGCACCTGAATACATTTGCAACAATGTTAATACGTTGCTAATATCATGTGCGTACAGCATTTATATATATACACGTGCTAATTTATATACGTGTGTATACATATGCCACGTGTATCCCACATAAATGTTACATATATGGTATATTCTGCAACCAGCAAAATACGTATACATATATTGCCAGAAGGATTCCTCGTCTACGCAATTCAGCCTCGTGCCCAACCGTCCGCAACGAAGACACCTGAGTAACTGATCTGCGAGGTCATCGCGCATGCGCACCGTGGAAATATCCGATAAGGTTGTCTCCCAGAAGGCTCCGCGTTACGCGGTGCCTTCCACGTACCATAGCTACTCCAGCGTAACGAGACATCAATCGGTTATTCAGTTGTATCCAGTTGGTACACAGATGGTACCAGGTAGACGAGACATCGCATCGGCATCCGCGTGCGAAAACATCTGTTGGACTTTTACGACCTAGTTTATCCAAAACCAAATAGGTATTTTTTTTTAATCAAGAAACACGATAAGGAATAGGGAGGGGGAGGGGGTGGATAAGAATAAATGATGTAAAAAAAATATATATAAAACCAATAAATGACGATGGCATCTATTTATTTTGAACTTTCATTCAAATTTACGTGGCTTTTTTCCTCTTATGTTGTAAAAAGGTACATACAGGACGCGTAGCGGCGGGACGTCGTTCGCCGCCGCGACGGCGAATACATACGATATACATATCGTTGGTATATTAATATATATATATATATATATATCTGTCTCGTCGATAACCATTACGATTAATATACATATATAGAGTCGATAAAGGCTATTATGGCGATTTATTGGTATTTACAATATTTATAATAGGCGTTCAATGGTTTAATACATATGTATATGTATACATATATATATATGTATATATCTCGCTAATATATACAGGGCCTGTACACCGCATACATTTACAATGCGGTCGCCATGAATTTTTTGTACTTGGCAATTCAGTCGTCGACTAACATTCGGAAGCACTTCGCTGCCGTCCCGCTCGCCGATTGGTCGAGATGCGATAATCGAACTCGCGATTAATCGCCCGGTGCCGACCAATCGCTGCGCGTTTTCCGATCGCCCTGCACACTTTATCAGTAATCGAATAACGCGCCCGGCACGTCTTTTAACTCCGCTCCCCACTTACGTGCTATCGGGACAGGGACGTTCGGTAGCAACGAGTGCAGGGGCTCTGAGAATTAGGGGGGTGTGGCGGGTGGGTGGACAAAGAGAGAGAGAGAGAGGGAGAGAGAGAGAGAGAGAAAATTACCTAGACTCCATTATTATTATTATTGTCAGAAACGCGCTTGCGATCGAGCGTCGGAATCATAAAGAAATAATCGTGGGATTCCCCGACGGCGTGAACCGTGCAGGGGTGGCAACGAGAAGAAAAAAAAAAGTTACTAGACACCGCTGAAACGTCTAATCTATTACCAACTTACTTATAGTTACAACTGGCGGCGCTAGTGTCGGTTCCTACTAGATTATACTTATAACGGCGTATTGTCGTATGGCATTGAGACGATGTTTTTTTTTTTAAATTTTATGTATTTTTTCGATAAAGAATTTATAAGACTTACGAGCTAAGCAAGTTGGCGAGCACAGCGTTGAGCATCATTGAGTAGTTATCAGGTAATAATTCGAATGGGCTATATTTCCTTCTTCCGGGCATTATTATTGTTGTCGTTATTAATATTAATAATATATAGACTCATTCGTCCTTTTTCTTTCTTAATTTACCCTCGGTCTGTATCGTGCGCGACACCAGGTCAACGCATGCCCCGAGGGAGGTCCCGTTCGCGGACTCGCCCTCGGGCGTGTTGGCTATTTTGCTCAGGGTCATTATGTAACTACAGGCGATCCTGAGGACGGATAGCTTTGAGAGTTTTTGATTGTGCGAGTAGGCAGGTATCGCGCGTCTCAGGGTGTCGAAGGCTGCGCTTATCGTGTGGACTCTCGTTCGTTCGCGAGCGTTCGCCTCTATTCTGCGCTCGCGGGTCATGTTCTTGTAATTTCTCTGCTGACCGCCGGCAGCCTGATGCCTGGAATGACCGTTGGGACTCTGACTGCGATGATGATGATGATGCTGGCCCTGTCCAAGGCTATGGGACATGACGTTGTCAAGGGGATAGCCAGCTCTGTCGAAGGTGCCGCTGACGCCAGGATGGGACGGGACCCTGGGATCCTCCCCGCGCAGGACCAGGGAGAGAGGCTCGTCCTGGAGCCTGGGATGAGGTAGAACGGGTGGGGCTGGTGGTTGAAAATTTTGACCAGGTCTCTGAAGACAGGTCATCAGGGGTGACTCGGGTCGCTGATCATTGTCCTGCAGTCGTTGGCGAGCAGCTTCCTCCTGTAGACGAGACTCGTGTCGCCTCTGATGATTGACCCGGTCCTGACTATCGGACTCGATGGACTTGGGGGCCACCGAGGTCTTGGTCTCGCTACTCTTGCTCGCGGACGTGCTCCACGGTCTGAAAGGACTCGGGGACGGCGACCCGGCGGGTCTGGACTCCTCGTCTATGCTGGTGGTCTCCTCCACCACCTCGAACCTCCTCTTCTTCAAAGGCGCCGTACTCGGTTCCTGTATCTTCCTGGGCTCGGCCAGCTTCCTCTTGTTCCTCAGTGATATCGGCGTGACCTGGACCTCGACGCTGTCCTCGGACGCGCTCGGCGAATGCAGACCGGACATGTCGTCCTCGTCGCCTCCGCTGCAGAACCCAGCGTCTCTCTCGGATCCCGCCATGACCCCGGCTGTAACAAAAAGTCAACGAGCACGTCAATCACAGTCGGATAATTGCGGCTTTGATACCTAACAGCGGATGACGTGGACGAGGGGGGACAGGTAGGAGAGCAGGAGGCGGTAAACCCTGTATACGTGTCCGTATAGCCGGGGCCTGCTTTTTGGTCGGGGCGAAGAGAAGAGGCCGGACGGGAGTCCCGTGGATGTTAAGGAGCTACTGGTTTTTATCGCGTGAAACCTCCGAGCCCGAGCCCACCGAGGGTGCACACGCTCGTGCTTTCATCCTGGCGTGCTGCGTGACCTCCACGACTGAGTCCGTAAGCTTGATGGGGTCCCTTATATATATACAAGGCACAAGGCCCATACACATCAGCGCTGAGGTCTCAGAGAGACGGGCATCTTCTACACAGGCCAATTATAACCAAGCACCATGGCGTGTACGTTATCGATACCCGTCATGAGATTTTATTTTTATTTTTCCTTCTCTTTGCTCTTTTAAAGAGAACCGGAGAACCATACTGCCAATAGCGACCTTAAAAACTGCCGTACAGGACGATCGATCGGGATACGTCGCTGTCATGTAAATGCAGCTTGGCGTCTGATCCAAGACCAGGAGACGTTCGTCTGATCCGGACCCCCATGGGATTCCTCCTTATAAGGCGTTAAACGCGACTTGACATTTCGTTCTCTAAGCTCCGCCATCTTGATTGCGCAATGCTTAATTGCAGGCGAATACAACGTGGACGCTTCGGGATTACTTGCGCAAGATAATTATCGTTTCCGTGCGGATGCCCCTAGAGAGAAATGGCAAACTGAATAGAATGGTGTATGTATATATATATATATATATATATATATGTGCATGTAACCACCTACCGGGCGTTATTAAATTTCCCTGATGAATTTACGCGAAGGAGCCATTGTAAAGAAGCATCAGGTGGGAATTGACGTTCAGTGATCGCGAGAGCGAGATAGAGCCACGGAAAGATAAGATAAATAAGATAATAACGTATACAGGATGGATTCGCATCGTGTCTCGTTCTCGCGGCGGTGTTCTCGACACGTGCATTCTAAGTTTAGTGTCTTGTGAGGCGCGCCGCGTCCTGGCGCCCCCTTCTGTGTTTTCACCGCGCGCCGTGGGCGGAATTATACTCACGACGGGATGCTTTCAGCGTCGCGGGTGCGTCATCCAGCTGCTACCATCTGGTGCGCAGCAGTACACTCCGATTATAATACGCCGCTCGTCCGCCGGATTTACAAGCAGGGAAAAATCTGCTATTCCGGGTATTTCCGAATATCCGTGTACGAGTCGACCAACTGGCAAATGTCTGGCGTATGGAAGACGCATTAAGAGTCCTCAGTCAAGTTACTTATATACACACCAGCTATTCCATACGAGCGACTGTTGTGCCGGAGGGACGTTTCAAAAGTCGAGATATCACGCGTTCATGTGATTTGTGACAAACTGCATGGTTAGCAGATGGCGCCACTGTCGCGATCTAGAATGTCACGAAAAATCGTTCCGATACGAATTCCAGAGATCAGGTGAGCGCGGAAAAATAACTGACATAGCTAAGAGAGTTACTGGAAGGATCGATCCAGTTGACAATAATAATTCATCCAACTGCCACTCCGTAGTACCTATATGGCGCTGTCGGAGGGCTTCAGGTTTCTCGATTACAGATTGGCGGCGCTGTCTACCCCCTGTTTCCCGCAAGAGAGTCCCCATATACGTATAGCGGCAACCTTCCGTACTTTGTTATCCGCGTATATACCTACATCATTCTTATTCTCTTTCTTGTGCCTCTCTCTCTCTCTCTCTCTCTCTCTTTCTCCTCTTCTTCTTTGACTCTCCGAGCGAAGCAAAGCCAGTCAGCCTCACGGCCGCCACATGGCGCTGGCGCCAGCCTCGTCTCTCGCAGTTCCTTTTATTGCCTTTCCTGGAGTCGACGGCATGCGACTACACGGTTTCTCTTTCTCTTCGTCTCTTTCATTCTCTTCCATTCGTATCTTCTCTGTTCTTTATGTATCCGTGTATATATATACATATATATTTGTGATCACGAGCTACGTTGACCCCACGAGCACGCGGGAACGCTCGGGACATCTGCGATCGTTCCGGAGCGCATAAACCGGGGAATCCCATAAATGGGATAACGGGCGTTGATACGCGCGGTAGGAATATCGTGCCGTGCGAATTTGGTACGATTGCCTTTTGCGGCGATAACAGATAGAGAAATAAGGAAGGAAGAATAGTAGACCGAATAGGAAATCCTAAGGTGCGCAGATATAACGTACGAGCACGAGCGTTGATGTTTTTAATTTTTTCGATAAAATGACTATCGAAAAAATTGGCACATGTGGCAGCCCAAAGTTTGAGGAATCTGTCATTGATTAGCATACGTAGACTAATACGAATGATTCATTCAGTGCGAATGTCTGCTTTAAAAAAAAAAAAAAAAAAAAAAAAAAAAAAAAAAAAAAAAAAAAAAAAAAAAAAAAAAATCTTCCGCGTATCTCTCTCCACTGTCACTCATACGCCGGGCGGTAGAGTGCTCGTAGTTTTGGAAAATTTTCACGTGCGAGTCGTTCGGAAAAAATTTTTTTTGCAATTAAAAAATAGCTTCTATTTTATTTACGAAATATGTATACGCATTCACGGCTCGTCAGCCACTCGTAAAGTTTCCAGTCAAAAAATGGTCAAATTTGTAGATTTAGGCAGTAAGTGAAAAAAAAGACTGGAGGGGATAGTGTAAAAATTATAAAAAAAAAAGTATAAAAAAATGTTCCGTGAAATCAGTGAATTCCATCGGTGGGCGGTTTCACTTTGGTTACCAGGAACAGCGAGAACATGCTCCACCCCCGTGTGCCTCTTATCAAGCATCGACGGACTGAACGACGCCAGCGGTAACCGCGTCGAAAGCTTAAATGAGTCCGCACAATGCATCGTAACGCGCGTCTCTGTTGCGTCTGCATCTGCGTCAAAGGCGCCGTTCCCGTTACAAATACCATTAACAAGCGGGTTATCGCTCTATCGTTTATACGTGGGCAGTTACGCTTTGAGCGCCGCACAGCGGTGGTTACAGTAACTTTCGGAGTTGAGAAAACTTGAAATTTCTATATACGAGGTACGTGTGGAAATCGGGATAAATTGAACACAGGTACCAAGAACACGGGTACAGTAGGAATATTACAGTCTCATGAGTCACCTACGGCTAAAGATAAATACATTTACCGATAAGAATTCAGCGGGACACCTGGCCAACGATGACGAGCATTACTCGTTATCGTAATGATAACAAACAGCAGGAACGTCTTCGTACGACCATCTGTTCCTCGTGGCAATAATCGGCGTGACACGTGGGACCTCCCTGTCCTGTTTATATTATTGACTTTGTTAGGAAATGAAGATTAGAATATATTTATATTGTTAAAAAAGAAATTCCCGACTTACGTTAACCGCGGATCGTGCAATTCTGTGCCGTATAATAGATAAGGCTATCGGGCAACCATAACAGCGTAGGAGCTCGCGTTAGCCGCGTGGTGGCTTCCTCGGGGTCTTTGAGGTCATCTGTAGGCGCCACCGAGAAGACAACTCCGCTCGATCACTGTATTCGTAATTATCAGTTCTGCTCACGAAAGAATAGCGACGCCTGTCCGTTCCCAGATCATAATTTACGTATCGCGCATTCACGAGATTCGTTTAAAGTAATGCACTGGAAAAATAGCAAAGCGAAGTATCGACTAACCATGCACGACGTGAAGATACTGCGATATGACGCCAGGATTGTCCGACAAGTCAAAATTTGTAAGTCCTTCGTCGGCAACAGACAGTTGTACAAGCAGCCGCTTTGTTTTGATCGAGAAATAGCCTCGGGGCATCTGTGCAAACTTTTCAGGTACAACGAGACTACAGAGACAGTAGATAAAACCCGAACAAAGCGTAACGTCGACAGAACAAACAAACAGCACGTAAATGTTGTAAAAAGTTATTCTTCTGTCGAGCATAAATAACCGTCAAGAAATTCACATCCCCCGACGCGCGAACTTACGAGTCAGCCCAAGGATAACGTTCCAAGTCCGTCCGAGGTACGCGGCAGCGCCCAGAGATGGCGCTGACGCTCGTGAGTTTCCAACGAACTCGATCGTTCGAACGGCTCACGAAATTTATCTTCGCGTCGTCCGTTCAATGGCGTCGACGTTCACGTCAACGCGTTACACTCGGTCGGACATGATGGACGTGGCGCGTCCCTCTCGTAACAAACGACAAGACAATTAACGGACAACTAATGGACCTGATAACGCGAAGCGCCAAGTGATCTACGGTCTTGAAGCGAGCCGTGCTTATGCGTAAGTATACACAAATATTAGAGCGTAAGACGCTAACGTATCTTAAACGGTCCGATAAGAGGGACCGAGAGCAGACCTACCTTACATGACAGCGGTCGTCTGCACTTGATAAATCACATCCCATTCACTTCTCGACTTCTCGCCACTGGCGAACTAACGTGTACGTCACTTCGTTCTGGCTCTGTCCGTTGAGCCGCCGACTTATTAAACCGACCGTTACGCCAGGCACGTGCTGAACCTCGTCCTTTTACGAGGATACGAAAAATCCCCTTAAAAAATTGCGCACTCCTCAGTGACGTCTAATTTTTATAATTGTCTAACCTCGAAACACTCATCGGCGTAATTTACGTGTCTGTCCCATCGGACTGCTGCGCTATGACGTCACGAGGTAGTCTCCCGTAGAAATCGTATAACGCGAGAGAAAATTGAATCATTGCCAGTACGTACATCGTGGTTGGTTTACTACGGATACGACCTTGACGGACGGTCACGCCTATTAAATCCCGTAATATTAGGTTACTGGCGAAAATGCACATCGCGATCGCTATAATGACTGACAATTTAGTGCCTTTTTTTTTCCCAGAGTCATTTAACGCCCGTCCATAGGTATACGCGACATGGCTGGATTACGTGTAGAGACGCCACGCGTCAGTTCGCGTCATCGACGTACAGAATGATCTACGCGATCCCTACTTCGAATCCTTTGAAAAAGTGCTGAAATAAACAAATAGAAAACGAGATGGCGGCCAATCGTTCTCCTTTTCTAATGCTCCTATCGACTAAGCTTTCCATAGGTACTTTCGCACTACGACTGCTGATTAGAAAGAGACAGGGCCTGGCCGCCCCCGGTGGCTATCTTTTCCTTTCAGCCAACCATCTTTCCCCTGTCTATGCCCAGCCCATACTACAGGTCGATGGTTCGCGCAGTCTGAATTCGTCCCATAAAAAGCCAGACAAAGGATAACGTACCAGACCTGTGATATCGAGATAATCCTAAATAAAAAGAATTTGAGGAAAACGTTAAATTTAAATCCCCGAGAAATACACAGACTTCGCTCCCTTTACGAACCCATAACAAAACCTAACGAACAATACACGTGGGTCGCAATCGTCGCGATAAAGTCTCGTTCACATCTGAATCAACTCCACTGACATTCACGTACACGGCATACCTACGTTAATACACGTCAACTGTGCCCACGTACGGTATCACAAGTCGCTTAAAAATAACTCGGAACCAAGATAGTCAAGGCAATCGATGACGTGTATCGACAAAAAAATTTATAAAAAAAAATATTTTTCCAAAACTTCAAAGAATTCATCCAAGGTCCCAATCAAGACCACCCTACCCCCCCAACTTGCCGGTACGGACAAGTCCAATGTCTCTACCCTGCTGATCTATCGACGAACAATGACCATTATCCTTCGTAAGATTGAGAATCACTGCGCGTGCGAGAGAGAAATAATGGTATCTTGTTGGTGGCTGTGCGCGGGGGGGCAGGAGGGGGTTTCAGCCTGAC